TTGCAGAAGCAATCAATTGCGGTGGGTGGGTCATCCAATTCTTATTTCTTCTTCTTCTTCTTCTTCTTCATCATCTTCCCAGCTCATTGATTTCAACTGAAAACAAAAACCAAGAACACAAAAATCCAGTCTTGAAACTCAAATTCTGTTTCTTGTGCTGCGTCGACATGAGAGCAGAAATGGGTGGTGCTTGAATTCTCAACTGCTTATTGAATTTTAAGCAAAATGGGGTGGAAAACCAGAGGATCAGACTCCACCTCAAAAAGTTTTGTTTCCAGAAAATTAACAATCTTGCTTTGCATTGGATGCTTCTGTGTCGGGATGCTCTTTACTGGCAGGTTAGTTGTTTCTAGCTCTTCAGTTTTTGTCTTGATGAAATGAAGTGTTAGTTATGCAGAATTATGTTGCAGATTTTAGGATATTATAAGATGATGATGATGATGATAGCACATTTTGTTTTTTAGGTTCTTACTATGTTTTAATAATGCATAATCACATTAAGTATTTTGGCCATGTCACAAGTAATTCAGTTGGTTTCTGGGTGATAAATTATGGGTAAAGATGCAGGATCGAGTCTGACAGTCGTAATGTGGAATACTTGTAACCATAAGGCACTGGTCCCACCTAATAGGTCAGTGAGTCACCTTTGATTTACCAAAGGCGAGGGATTTTGCCTTTTGTGGGCAAGTATTTTGGCCATTTAGGTTTTTTTTTGGGTACATTTGATGGAAATGAAGATTGAATTAAAGCATGTGCTCCATGCCTAAGCTGATAGTTGGATTATATGCTCAACACGCCCCTCACGTGTGGCCGATTATTTTTGATGGGCTCCAAACAACACATATTCGAATCCATGACCTTTGGCATGGATCTGATACCAAATTGAAGCATATGGTCCATCTCAACTAAAAGTAGTCTAAGCCGATAGTTGGATTATATGCTCAACAGATTGAACAGAATCACTGGATTCAAAGCTAGTTATCTACAATTCTCCTCTGTAGTTTATGGAGTGGCTTTGTATATGCATGCCTTATTGATTGTGTATTTTGGTGATAGAATGTGGGCAGTGCCAGAACCTAAGGGCATGTCAAGGCCAAAGCAGATTGAGGATGGAGATATAAAGTTAGCTTCAGAAGGCTGTGATCCTAGAATTGTGAGTACCTATAAGTTTTAAGAAATTTGTACAATATTGTAGCATTGATATAAGAATCTCGGTATAGAGGTTCACTGGGAGCTTAGCAATGTTATTTTTTTTTATTTTTTTTTTGTCTCGATTGGTAGAAGGATGTACGAACTGAACTCAGATATACTATTGGGGATGTTTCAAACACAAAACACGCTATACGGTATGTTGCTTCTTGTGCCTGTTGTGTATATATGTAATGAATGTTTGTTTTGATTTAAATATGTATTGAGATACAAAATCGGGGCTGTCTTTAAAAATGCAGAACTCTGGATAAAACTATATCGAATTTAGAGATGGAGTTGGCAGCAGCAAGGACTTTGCAGGATTCTATACTTAGTGGCTCTCCCATATCTGAGGACTTGAAGATTCCAGAATTGACCAAGAAAAGGAAATACGTAATGGTTGTAGGCATAAATACAGCATTTAGCAGCCGCAAGAGAAGAGATTCTATCCGTAATACTTGGATGCCTCAAGGTTGTCGAGTCGTTTAATTTATATCTCTTCTCTGTGTCTATGTGTTGTGACTTATATCGATACGCTGTTTATCTGTTTGTTTTGGGATAATTGATTCTTGACTTGTCGCCAAACAGGGGATAAACGAAAAAAGCTCGAGGAGGAAAAGGGCATTGTAGTTCGCTTCGTTATAGGACACGGGTGGGTGCTAACTGTACATAATTCTGGCCTATAAATTTTACATTTAATCTTATGAACTATTAGCAGATGCCAAATTGTTTCTGTTGGGCATCGGCCGGGTTGGCCGAGTTCAGTCCCTGCTCGATTCGAGACGTGTCGTTGTGGCTTACAATGGAGGGATGTGGTTAAATTGTTAATGTCCACCTACTTATCACCAATTGGTTTTAAGTAGGATATGTCAACCAAATAGCCAAGAAACTCTGTTGTTAAGCGTGTTTGACTTACAGCAATTTCTGCACTTTTTCACTGATCATGCTGATTTCTTCTTTTATCTTATGTGATCTCGCAATCACCAGTGCTACTGCAGGCGGCATTCTTGATAGAGCAATCGAAGCAGAAGATAAGAAACACGGAGATTTCTTGAGACTGGTAATTCAAATCCTTACACAGTAATGTTCTTTTATTACCTAATTAGGATAGGATCTAATCCTCCCACAAGTTTGGCTTGTTATCCTATCCTCTGATCCTCACACATTAATGCAATGTCACCAGGAACACGTCGAGGGATACCTCGAGCTATCTGGCAAGACAAAGACCTATTTTGCTACAGCTGTTACTCTATGGGATGCAGATTTCTATGTGAAAGTTGACGACGATGTACATGTAAATTTAGGTAATAATGTAAAATACTAAAATGTAACTAGCTTAGTTTTTCTCCTTGCGCACACTCTTATTCTTATATTCGTTAAAACTGAATGCTTCAGGGACACTCGGAACAACTTTGGCTAGACATCGTTCAAAACCCCGAGTTTATATTGGGTGCATGAAATCTGGTCCTGTCCTTGCTCAGAAGTAAGCAGAAGATCGTTCGACTCCAATAATATCTAAATGGGTTACGGTTATTTACTTTTGTCTTACCAATTTATCTTAGTTTGTGTTTTTTACTTGCAGGGGAGTGAGATACTATGAGCCCGAGCACTGGAAATTTGGCGAGGGAGGGAACAGGTATTTCCGTCATGCCACTGGGCAGCTATATGCCATTTCGAAGGATTTAGCCACCTACATTTCGATAAACGAGTAAGCATTTGTTTAAATTCTCTTTATGGGCTTCAATTCAATAGTACTGTTCCCTTGCTCGAGTATATGTATTCGCTTATAGTGTTGAATCTAATTTTATCGTCTTAGGAATGTGCTACATAAATACGTTAATGAAGATGTTGCTCTGGGATCTTGGCTCATTGGACTGGATGTAGAACACATCCACGACCGCCAATGGTGCTGTGGAACTCCGCCCGGTAATAGTTCACTATAATTTTTCTCCAAAAAAAAAAAAAAAAAAAAACCCATATCAGAATTTCAAGCCTTTACCCGATAGAACTCGAGTCTTTACCTTATTACATGTGTGAGCATATAACCAATAATGTGCAATCTAACTAGCAGCTTAGGCTTTTAGTTGAGATGGAGCACATGCTTCAATTTGGTATCAGAGCCATGCCCCGGTCCACGTAGCCCAAAAGTAATTAGCCCACACACGTGAGGGGGCGTGTGATTATATAACCATTAATGTGCAATCCAACTACCAGCTTAGGCTTTTTGTTGAGATGGAGCACATGCTTCAATTACATGTACCAACAGTAGTAAGGGAAGTACTCATCCTGATTCGATCACTTGATCTCGATTTTGGCTGCAGACTGTGAATGGAAGGCTCAGGCAGGCAACATATGTGTTGCTTCGTTTGATTGGAGATGCAGTGGGATTTGCGGGTCGGTGGAAAGGATCAAGGAGGTCCACCGACGGTGTGGGGAAGGCGAGAAAGAGTTGTGGAATGCCGTCTTCTGACCAAACCTCGATCTAGAGGTAGTGTTGGCAAGCTAAGATTGCAGGTCTATATATCGATTGTGATCCGATCTGTGGATTATATTGTTTCTTCAATTCCTTGATTTTTCTGGAATATGAATCTATAGAATATATACTTATGTGCTTACCCTCAAGAAAGTGAGAGGTTGGTGTGGATCTAATCCATTTTAGGAGAGGAGAAAGATCATTGAAGCAGCCAGTAGAGATGCAAATTAAATGTCAAAAATCATTGCTTTTTTTTAGATGTTTAGACTTAGGAAACAAAATTTGTTACTTTAATTTGTATGTCTCTGAATATATATGTATAGTAGCAGTAGCTTGCTGCCACTGTCTTATTGTACTTTCAGTAGCAATTTTCCTACATGCTAAATTTCTCAGTTCAATTTTGTTTTTTTTTTAATGTTTCTTATGTCAGAAACTTCATTATATAACAAGGTTAGTTGAGCGTATAGTAGCACTAACTATACACTTCAACAATTTTTTTTTTTTTTTTTTTTTTTTTTGAAAGTTACTGGTTCAACAATTTATATTTTAACATATAACTAATTTTTTCAAAACTTAAAGAGATTCTTATTTTACATCTTTGAAAGTCTATTTTATAATAATTATGTATTTTATTATAAAAGAGGAATAATATTTGCAACACATGGCAGACGTTGCGCTTATGCAACACACTGCAACCATCTGTATTTCAGGCGTGGAAATGGCCTTAGGTTTAAGAAAAATAAATGTCAAATTAGTCACCAAACTATTATAAGTTATGCAATTAACTAGATTATCAAAAAAAATAAAATTGTGTAAATGTGTAATTAAAACATCTATCTTTATAAACTATAATACAATTAACATTTGTAGCGTAGCTTTCGAGTAAAGTTATCAAAAGTCTAAAAAAAAAAAAACATGTAAAAATTTTTCAAGTGTTAGATAAGATTTTTAATAGACTTTATTAAAAAACAAACGACTCCAAATATTATTTGTGTAAGTTTACAGAATCACATATTTCAATTATACAAAATTTATTTTTAACCGATGGTCTAGTTACACAAATAGGTAGCCTATTTGATTAAAAAAAATGCACGGTAAACTATAAAAGTACAAACTCAGACTTTAACCAAATAAAAGACAAGTCAAAAACCTTATCGTTAAGCGGCATTACTATAACTCGAATCGTAGTGCTTCAATAAGTTGAGAAAATACATATAGACAGATACTAACATAGTCAATAGTCCTTAAAAAAACAAAAACAAAAAAAACAAAAAAAAAAAAAACAAAAAACAAAAAATAAAAAGAAAAACAAATAAAGGCGCTAATCAACAACTCTGTCACAAACAGTTTGGTGCTTGGTAGTGCCCTTACTCCCTCAGTCTTCTTCGTTACTATCCTCAGTATTCTTCCCATTTCCTTTTATTTTTATTCTCACTGAAGAAACCCTAATTCTTCTTCAATCTTTGCAGTTTTCGAAATCATCCACTGATCGCCATGACAAAGAGCTCCTTCAAGTTGGAACACCCCCTTGGTATGATCGATCCCTCGTATATCTCACAATAGTTTGTGTTTGTGCATCTATATGTGTAGTGCGTGTTTTGTTTTCTTCTGGTTATCGGATCTGATATTTGACTTTCCCTAATTTTCGATTGGTTAGTCGATTGTTTGATCGAGTAGAATTGTAGGGTCTTTATTCTATTTCTGCTCCAATTGACAATCCTTATATGGTATCCTTAGTTCATGACTGATTTTTTTTTTTTTTTTTTTTTTTTTTTTAAATCTGTTTTCGATTTTGTGTTTCTCGCTTTTCCTCTATTCTATTGATATTGCAACTGAGTGTCTAAATCATACAAAAAAAGTAAAACTAAAAAAAAGCTGTTTTTTCAGTGTTTTGATTGCCTGTCTTTTTGTTCTTTATGCTAGGTTGTTCATGCAAAAATGCTATATCATGGTGAAATGCTCATTTTCTTACTAATGCTTTTGGCTTTAGTTGATATTGTGCTATGGATGGAAGAAACATGTGTTCTCTATGGAATTTGTTGCGTGGAACAAGACCATGGCAATTGCACACCCTAGATAATTGAGTGAATAATTAAGATAATAAAATAATTTCAAAAATAAAATATAGGATTATGCCATAGTTTCACCTTTTGTTATCTTCTTTTTGCAAGCCATGCATGCTAAAAAGATGAGCACAGAGCAACTATTCTTGGGTGGACTCTTTCTAATGGTTTTATTTTATAAATTGTTCTGATAATTTGGCGTGTTTTTCAATATTTTCCATTCAACTGAAAAGGCTTAATTTATCTTATCTGCCTGGTTCAATCATCAATGTTCCTTAATATAGTTTGGTTTCTCACTATTCAGAAAGGCGACAGGCAGAAGCTGCTCGTATCAGAGAGAAGTACCATGATAGAATTCCAGTATGGATACCATTGCCCGTGCCCTTTTTGTATTTAATAGAGATACAGTCTGTATTCTAACGAATTCTTCTCTGTTATACAGGTCATTGTGGAGAAGGCCGAAAGGAGTGACATCCCTGACATTGACAAGAAAAAGTTAGTTGCGCGAGCTAATCTGAAATTGTCATTAATTTTGACTTTCAGTAACTTTTAGTTGTGCAAGCTGTAAATTTTTTCGATGCAATCATCTATCCTTTGTCTGCAACCACTCCAATCTCTTGATAAAATATTTCAACCAACTTTGTAACACTAGAAATTTTTTGATCCTGGACATGTTGCACACATTATCTTGTGAGGTACACCTTTGTTATCTATGCTTCTAATGAAACAACCTTCTGATACTGTTAACTGTGCTGTTTGCAGGTATCTGGTTCCTGCTGATCTGACTGTCGGGCAATTTGTTTATGTTGTCCGAAAGAGGATAAAGCTCAGTGCAGAGAAGGCCATTTTTATTTTTGTCAAGAACATCCTACCTCCCACTGGTTAGGATAAATTTCCATCATGATTCTCATGTGAAACTATTGCTTACTTTCATACCTTTTTGTCCCTTTTCCTTTTATGGCTATAATCACTTGTGTCATTTTATTTGGTTGGTGTTCTTGATTGTCAATTGCAGCTGCTATGATGTCTGCAATTTATGAGGAACACAAGGACGAGGATGGCTTCCTCTACATGACTTACAGTGGAGAGAATACTTTTGGATCATTCTGAAGCTGCCAGCAACAAAAAACTACCTGGTTTGTAAATAAGTGTTCGCGTAAATCCTTTATCGTTTGTCTGATGCTATACTTCTGCTTCTCTGAAGACAGTTCTTCTGAAAGTACTTGTTTAAAATTTAAATTCGAGCCTATAATATATAAACTTTGATTTGAAGTGGTATATACAGACCATTCCCCATATGCAATTTATTGAACTTCATGAAACTGAAGGCCCCATATGCATCAAGAGTGCTTGATCCTATCAAATTAGAGGAATATACACTTTTTAAGCAATATGCCATTTCTAGGGCTTTTAAACATTCAACCTCAGTCTCATACATTGTTGCAAAAATCGCGCCTAGGCGCCCGCCTATGCGGTCCCCAGGCGCCTAGAGGGCGCCTAGCGATTTTTTCACCATTGGTCTCATATTTAGAAATTTGTTAGGTAATGGGCAAAGTCCAATAGAGATGATGTGAGTTTTAAGAGAGCAATTTGAAATATGGACTGCATAGACAGTTCAGTTGGTCACATTGATGAAGTTTGGGAACAATGATTCGGGGTCGAGTCTCACCAGCGGTTGTGTGGGAGCAATCCCTCAAAGTGAGGGGGCTCCTTGTGCACAGTAAGCAAATGTTTAGTCTCTGTTCAACTGAGTTACCATGATTTATATCCGTAATTTTTTTTTTTCTACCAACCAAATAGTGAGATCAATCTTCTTTGACAATTACTTTTCCATGTACGTGTTTAATAGGAAGTCCATATGTATATACGGTCAACGGCATGCGCATGCGCTTGTCCATCAAGAAACAGACATATATGTAAACATCTACTGGTCAGAATTTGGACACAAATACTATTATGCATTCACACACCATGTATTTGGGTTCTATTATAGTTCCAGTGATGGACTTTTTTGTTGTTTAAGATGTGATATATTCTAGAAGATAAATATCACAATTTTATTGTTTTTAAATGTAAATTTTATAATAAAGAATAATACGCACAGTTAATAATTAAATTACACATTTATTTATGTATATATGCTCAATATGCCCAATCATGATACATTTAATAATAAAGAATAATACGCACAGCTAATAGTTAAATTACACATTTATTTATGTATATATGCTCAATATGCCCAATCATGTGTGTAGATCAGTTACTTAACTTTTAGATGAGTATATACAACACGTGGGCTATAATATTTTTTCTATGGTACACTTATATTTATATATATTATAATATTGTATGTTATATGTGTAATTAGTATTTAGGCCTAAATACTATTTTTTTTTTTTAATTACAAGAACTATTGGAATGTGAAGCTCGCAATTAATGATTTGAAGCACTAATATAATCTTCGAATATTTGAAGCACTAATCCTGAAGTATTGTATATATTTGGGAGATCACAAATTTAAATCTCAATGAGGACATCAATACTACATTGTAATAGAGTCAATATTACTTTAAAAAAAAAAAAAAATCCCAAAAATTCTTGCAAAAAAGGGGCATGAGGTATAAATGCACCATTGCCATTCCTACTAGCGAAGACCAAACTCAGCAGCAGCACACGCGTCCGTTTTATTTAACATTAATAAAAACTTGGAAAACAAAAGTTGTGGTGGTCCATGGATGTGTGCTCTCTTAGTCTCTTTAGTTGACCACAAATTTTCTCAGCGTCTTTCACGTGGAATAATTCAATGCTGCTGCATACAATTTGCCATATATTCTTGACAATATAATATAATCCTGCAAGTTTGTGTGTGTATAAATTAGGCGTCAAGAGAAAGTGGGCGGTTTATCTCCGCCGGCCACAACTTTGGAGGGCAAGAGAAGTTCAATAATTCTCACTAACCCGGCCTCTCCTCTCCCAACTGATCAACCATGGCTTTGTTCAATTTCTGGGGCTGCTTTTCGGAGTCGAACCGATACGTCTGCAACGGCGACATCTGCGTCCTGCGAGATCCCAACACCACCCTGAAGAAGAAGAAGAAGGCAGCAAGGCAGAGCTTTAGAATCCCATTCACCCAGTTCTCTTTGAGAAAGACTTATTGACATCCCACATGTGTGATTGGCTATATTTATCTTTGTTACAGGTTAATTGTTATCTCATTGCTTGTAATATGCATATATACTTACATATTAAATTCAAAATGGTTTAAAGTTTAAATAAATATATCCATGATCATGTTTTAATTTCTTGGTATTGTCATAAGAATTTGTGAAGTACAAGTTCATTTCTCATTTACTCTTTAATTATTATATCATTTTTTTTAATCTGGATTTAGTTCTTAATTAATTAATAATTTCATCATATTTTGCTCAAAAGTTTCTGATTTTGTCATTTTTTTACTAATTTCATCCCATTTTTATGAATTATATTATTAGTGGAGAATTAATCTCAAAATAACATTATAATTAATGACTAAATTGTTATTTAAATTAGGAGATAAGAATTAAGATTCGAATATAATCTTAATGTTTTAAGAAATGTATAGACTATCGCCAGGATATATTCTAAAAAATATCAATATATCCATGATTGTAGTTTGGTATAAGAATAGAAAACAATAATTCTAGGAAGACTTTTATTATTAATTGATCTAATTTGTAAAATATAAGAAGAAATATATTTATAAGAATACCAAGGAAATGCTTTGTGGACGCCGGGTATCACCAAGGAACAAACTCGGCTACGGTCGGGGCAGTCCTTCTAGATGCCAGCAATCATTTTGTTTCGGCCTTCAGCGCGCCTATCCTGAGTTGCTTTTCTCCACTTATGGCCGAAGCATTTGCGTGTAAAGAGGCCCTCTCTTGGCTAAGGGCACGAGGTGAATAATCTATACTGCTTCATACGGATTGTCAAACGTTACAATGCTATCTATCTACACCGGACAACCCATCTCATTCACGGTTCATACATTGGTTATGCTATTGATAGTTACAGAAATTATATGTCTGCTTTTACTTCCTGCTCAGTCGTTTTTATTCCTAGATTACAGAACTTACTAGCTCATACTTTAGCTACTTCAGCCTTTACGCTTCCTTCGGCAATGTACTGGGACGATGTCCCACATGACTCTATTTCAGTTTATCTATAAATACAACCACATTGATTGACTTTCAAAAATATTTATAAGAATACAAAGAGTCTTAGTCAAGTCAAGAATGACAAAAGGTAGATTTACAATACTATAGAGAGAGGGAGAATGAATTCTAATGTAACTAGAATATAGAGTCTTAATACGTTTCATCAAGTTTAATGTTTTCTGGATAGGACATTGAGCTTATCCCTTAGAGTGTCATTTTTAACCTTATTATAGTTAGGACTTGGTGAAGATGCCTGCTAGTTGGTCTTTTATAGAGATGTAGTTTACTTATAGTTCATTTGATGCTACTTTGTCATTAACAAAATGATAGTCTATTTCAACATGTTTGGTTCAAGCATGAAACACATTATTTGCACACAAATAGGTTGCACAAGGTTGTCACACCAGAGTTTTGGTGGCTTTTGCATAGTAAGACCAACATGGACGGAGCCACTATAGGGGCAGTGGGAGCAGCTGCCCCCCTCCCCCTCCCCACTCCTTTATATATATATGTATGTATATACATATATAGCATTAAATGTTATATAAAATTATTAATAGTTTAGTTGGTTGAACTCCAAATTTGTTTAAATTAAAAGCTTATTATTATGGTCACATGTTCAAATCTCATTAGCTTAACACTTTTCTTTATATTTCATTGACATTTCTAAAGTCATTTAAACTTCGTCCCCACTCAAATAATTTTCTGGAACCGTCCCTGAAGACCAAGTTCTCGAATTAAAGCAACTAACCATGTTATCTCTGTTGAGACGTCGGCTATAGCTTTGTATTTTGCTTCTGTTGATGATCTAGACACTATCTTTTGTTTGTGACATGCCCAAGAAATTAGATTTTTACCAATAAAATAGCAAAACCACTAGTGGACTTGCGATCATCAGGACATCCCGCTCATTCCAAGTCCGAAAATGCATGTTGTCATTTGAATCTAATTTTGTAAAACGTAACTTGTAGTTTAGAGTAGCTTTGACATACCTTAGAACACGCTTTATGGTCACCCAGTGGTCATTGGTTAGCCCTGCATAAACTGACAGAGTTTGTTTACGACAAAGGAGAGATATAGACGAGTGATGGTTAGATATTGTACTGCTCTAACTAAGTTGCGGTAATATGTGAGATTGTGATATGGTTGAGCTGAGTTTGTTGCACTTAGCTTGCTGTTGACTGGAATAGGAGTGGAGATTGGCTCGTAGTGTTTCATTTTGGATCTTTTGAGTATTTCGAACATGTACCTTCGTTGTGACAGGATCATCACCCCCTTATTATGAACTGTCTCGATTCCCAATAAGAAGTTTGAAGGTCCCATATTTCGGATCTCGAAATTTTCAACTATTCTGTTTGTTATGGAAGTCAAGAAACTTTCGATGATGCTCATTATTAGTACGTCATTACATAGACAAGTACATAAATTTGAGCATTAGTAGCATGATAGATAAGCAAAGATACATCAGTTTTTGAAGCCTTGAAACCAATCAAGAGTAGACATTTGAACTATGCATGTGGTGCTTTCTTCAAACCATATGGAGAATTTTATAGTTTGCAAACATGAGTAGGGAAATTATTGTCAATATATCCTGGAGGTTGCTTCATATAAACATTATCACTTAGACAACTATTAATAAGGAAGGCATTGTGAACATCAAGTTGTGCGATAGACCAATCTTTTGTTATAGCAAGAGATAAGATTGAGAAGTTTTACTATAGTTGATTTGACCACCGGACTAAATCAAGTTGTCATTTGAATGACCTTTATTTTGAAGGAGAAAGTTCACTCAACCCGTGCTTTAAATCTATGAAAATGGTATAGATAGTTGTTTTCAGTTTCATGGAAAAAAAAAACATGTATAGCGATAATAGTCATTAACAAATATAACGAAATAACAATGACTTTCATTAGATAGAATCATGGATGGTCCACAAATATCTGTGTAAACTAAGTCTAATATGGAATAAGTAGACTTTGTGGCTCTTTCTAGAGGAAATCGTAAGGATTTCCCTAGTTGACAAGCAAAACAAATTGTACTAATATTACTTGGGAACTTTGACGTAGAATGTTGCCCATAACCCTAGAGTGGGGTTGACCAA